GAAGAATCATTAAAACTTCGAATATCATTTCTATTAGAAGAACGTGGTAAATCATTAATCAATTTGACGAGAACAGAATCAATAAGCAACTCATCTCCAAACACAACAAATCCTTAAAAGTCAAAGATGGAGTAACAAAACAACTTTTTTTCATATTCAAATGCAATTGTCTCTCAACCAAAAATAAACCAAGATAGTGGGTTAAGGAAATTAATGAGCCCATAAAGCAATAACAATTCTTCAAATTTATTCATATATTTAATGATGATTTTGGTCTCTGTAGGCTCCGAAAATTCGTGCCCCGACCACTTCGCACCTTCTTTTGTAGATGGGAGAGTTTTAATGATTTTAGATTCCGGTTTAAATTTTCAGAAGACATCATATTAGGTTTTAGATAAGACAATACCCAAAGATTTCGCCCTCATTTTACGATGACTTTATGATCTGAGTTTTAGTTTCCCATAAACGCAAACTCCTATGGTTAATTACTCCTCCCAATAACGGAGAAAACTTTCAATTAAAACTAGTCGTTAAATAAGTCGCAATAAGTATCTAACGTATAATAACAATAACTTTCGGATTTGAATTGGTTTTGAATTTTGGAGTTTATGACTTGAAATTTATCACCATATACTTAAAGAGAGTGATGGGTGAATGATGATGTGCCCGATCAAGATCCCATGGTTTCGTCATCCAAGGCTATCATAATCCTTGGTTTACATAGTCAGAGGAGGTAGTCGACCCAACTTGATAGAAGCAACCTTGTCGGCAGCCATGGGTTGCTTCATCCAAAAATACCTTCTAAACTTTGGGTGGATGTATGTCTAAGGTGGTGAATTTAAGTCACTTAGCTAATAGAAGGCTTAATTCTTATCGAGTGCATCCTACAATTCATCACTCAAGCGGCTTTTAACCATTACGGAACATGAGAGCTTTGATCATGACCATAATATAGTGGTGTCATTTTATGATAAAACAACCTAGTCAGAGGGCACTTGTCACGTCCTTGCTGATGAGAAATCAATCAAGAATGAATTGTAGTAATACATTCAACAAGACATATGCTCTTTGTGAACTCAAGTTATGCATTAATTCATCATCCTCGCCAAATCATCGCAAAGGGTGGATATATTTTGGTTTAAAGTTTTTAGTAACGAAATTCATTTTAAGATTTTAAATTTTTAATAGGATTTGAGTTTAGATTTTGAATAGATTACTCCAGAATTTTCAGGACATTTTGAAAATTAAATAGCTCTCACTTATTAAGTTTCTTGTTAACACATCTATTGTCAAAGTGTTTGAGCACTTTTAGCAAGTCCACGAAGCATTCTCAAATATCGCATTTAAGGGCTTAACATAAAGATCGGAGCACATACGAAACATATTTAGCAAATAGAATGGGAGTATTGTCGAGGTCTTTGAACATTGTTAACGAATCCGCAAAGCATTCTCAGATCTCGTATTTAGGAGTTTGGCATAAAGATTGGAGCGCATGTGAAATGTCTTTTAGCCAATAGATCAGAGCTATTGTCGAGATGTTTGAACACTTTTAATGAATCTGTGAAGCATTCTCAGATCACGCATTTACGAGCTTGACATAAAAATAAGTGCACATGCAAAACATTTTTTTAATTGTATTTGCATAACGAATTTAACACATTGATTAAAGCTTATACATAATGTATTTTGAATTTTGCACTTGCATGATTTGTTTGCATTTGCCTATGCATACTACATTTGCCTTCTGATCGGTATGCCGACATAATACATTCATAATTGCATTTCGTTCATTGTCCTTGCATGTGTATTTCACACATCAAACCTTCCTCAGAGGCTCACAAAAGCGATCAATTGCACGAATATCAGAAAGCTTGACACCATCAACACTAAATAGCCCACCATGAACCACGAGCACCTTGTCGTTTATCAAATGAGCCAAAGGTTAACAACAACACACTTGTGTGAAAAGCTCAACAAATGCCTCACTTAGCTTATACTTGACTTAGCCTTCAAAGACATATACTATTCATGTTCTTGCTTTCATAATTTCCTCAAGCAAGATGCATGGTTGATGAAATCATGAACTTGAATGCAAATAGTATCAGAATAACTTCAACAGAGAAGGATCCTCGATCCATAAAGTCTACATTAAAAAGGTAAGGATTCTTTTCTAAAGAAGTCCATTCAGCTTAAATATACTCAACAAATCATAGAGCAGCCCATGAACATCACGGCAAACTGTAAAATGATTACCATTTGAAATAGTAATGTCCACAAGAGAAGGCATGGCTCGCAACGTCTCTTTGGCTTATAAGATGATCTGATATGCGTACCTTTTGTTTAAATATTTTTTATTCTAAATCATCCAACATTTTCTTTATAAAAACTAGAGTTACCACTTCACCCATGATTCTTGCACAATTATATTGTGGCTCCACTTCTATACTATGATAATCTATTAAATCTGCAACAAGGTGTCTTTGAGAATCTTTTACAGCAATAGCCTCTTCAAGTCCTATCTTTTGGTATCCTTTTTCATACTATTTCAGCTTTCTAGTGGCATCCCTACAGAAAATCTTTCAAATCCTCCTTAAACTTCCCCATGACTAGATATGCTGCCCTTCACCTATAATAACTCTTCAAATATTTAAGGTCTATTTCAATAATTTTGAAGTATCTTGCACCTCACTGCCATACTCCACAAGCTTGGTGTGTGCAAATGCACGATTTGCCCAATACACGATGTACCCATTTAAATTAATAGCCTGGTTGTATAAATCAATAGCTTGAGAAAATATAATCGCCTTAGAGGCTTCATTGGCTAAGATTTTAGTTTCTTCTGCTCGATCCATATTCACATTTGAACTTCCATCTATACTTCCCATTAGAATTGTAGCTTCTTGCAATGACTATGTATCACTATATAAGAAGAACCATTTTCACACTTTAACCTCTCAATAACAATAAACGGGGCGCAAGTGAATAAACACGGGTTTAGGAGCTAAGGTTATGAGATGATAGAGAAGAAGAGAAACTCTAAAAATATGAAAAAGCCATCCGTCAAGGTAGGAGATGTTGTGTAATTATTATTGTTCTTTGAGAATGACCCAAGTAATTTTACAATGTCTTTGAGTAAAAACTCTTAATGAACCATGAAAATTATTAATTCTACATGTATCGTATATTGAGCCAATTTTAAATTGAGTCAGATTTTTTCAAGCAAGCAAATCATTTTGTGCCCCCCCCCCCCCCAA